TTTTTAAACTTCTCTTCTCGGTGACCTTTCTTGCAATAAACCTCCAAACACAACATGAAACATAGTACTATATGTACATAAACGAAATACACATCAAATTACATGCTGTACTGGCCATAAACGCAGCACTGAGAGAACAGATGTAGCTATGCAGTGTTTACTTGTTAAACAGGAAGACACCAACTGCTCAACTTCCGGTGCTTTCAAAATAAGACTATATCAAAGATTATACATAAGAAAGCTTATAGTAGATAACTTAGAAACAATACGCAAATATGAGCAATGGCTTCCTAAGGAGCAAGAACATTTTATTTAAATTTTTTTGACACAATTTAAGACCCCCCTTAAATTTTGCTTTTGAGGCTTTCAGGGGGGCTCATGAGTTAATCGGGGGGGTTTGAGCCCCCCCGGACCCCCCCGTATTTCGCACTCTGTACCTCAGTTAACTGTTGTTAGTTATCAGTTCTCAACAAAAAAAGTTTTTTAGCTTATTCCGTTAGGTTATATCCAAGTAACGTCTTCCTATGGGCAACGACTTGAAGGCACAAACTAAACTGTTCATAATTTGTTCTTTATGGTACGCCAGCATTCATAACATGTAGGTGAATCACTGTCCCCCAGACATCCGTGGTTATATTTTTTTTATATTTATATTTTTTTAAAACAAAGCGGAGTGTGTGAGGTCATTCGCGCCCGCCGGTTACCATTCCTTCATCCTGTCCGCTGAACTGCTGCTAGTTTTTCTCACATGCCTGGAAGATGTCTAGTGCTGCTACCACAGATGATCTCACTCCAAAGGGAATTGAACGATTCAGATTAGCTAGCCGAGTGAATAGAAGGGGTAGAGCGTAGCCGCCTGTGGCCCGGGCTGCCTGTCACAACTCCAGTCCGGCGCACGCGGATGACATTTGATTTCTGGCACAGGGTCTTTCTGCATAGATGTTACATGTTCTCCCTGTGCATGTGTGGGTTCTCTCCAGGTACTCCAGCTTCCTCCACAGTCCAAAAACATTACTTTTAGTTTAATTGGTTTCTCTAAATTGTCCTTAGGTGTGAGTGTGTGTGTGAATAGTTGTTTGTGAATGTGTCTCTCAGTGTTGCCCTGTGATTGACTGCCGACCTGTCCAGGGTAGACTCCGCCTCTCGCCCGTAGAAAGCTGGAGATAGACACCAGCACCCCTCGCGACTCTACTTGGGATAGGCATGACGGAAAAATCGATGGATGGATGGCTTACTTAACAAATATTACACATAGATGTTAATTGAAATTGTTAAAAAAAAAGGTTGTTTTCGACTTAGGAGGCATATAGAAATCCAGAAACACGGCTCGACAAGGGCCTGTGGGGGAAAGAGTTTATGTATGTGTTTTTGTTACCTTGTTTTGTGTTAAAAGGCTATGAGTGAGCCTATAAAAAATGACCTAAACCACTAAAACACATGAACTCTTGTTCTAAATGGGTTTGGCTAGAGTAATATGAGCAAATGAGCATGTGATTGTGTTAAGTGTCACCTTGACCTTGTTTGTGGAAATTATTACATGATCTCTATTGGGAAGAGGTTAGATTTGAGCAACCTCCTCCTGAAGATTTAGATTTCCGCACAGATAATGGTCTGTGTAACTCCTTTAAGACTGTCAAATTATATGTGTATAAGCCCTGTAACTTTTTGCATTCCACTTCATCTTTAGGAGCCTCTTTGTGTTGGTGTATCAAATTAAATTTCAATAAAAATACTTTTAAAATGTAGTTGTAACATAAACAAAAGAGTGGTACTTTTGTTTATAGTAAATGGAACAGGGCCCTTTGGTTAAATGGTACAAATCTTGGCAGTTAAGTACAATTCGACCCAGCACACAGCTGTTCAAGCTAAATGGAATTCTTCGCTCACTATTTTTGGAATCAGCTGGCAAGTTCACCGCGGCTGGGATCTGGTTTCATTAAGACAGCTTAATGCACATGCAACCTGACCACAGTCGGTCATACAGGGTTGGTTACCTAGTACAATTTCAAATTTGGGTTTTCATCAAACATCAGGAAGTTATGTAAACTTCTTATGGTTTTTCATTTTCACTAGTATTTACCATTGGTTGTTTCCCACTAACCCCACCCCCCATCAACATTTGTGTGGGGGGGCTGGAACACATGGTGCTGTCACTCACTGCCTACCCTGTGCTCCTGTTTGTTTGTGCTCAACTGCTTCATCAACAGATGTAAACACCACAAAGTTTTCAAAAGAGGGAGTAACTTAGAGCTTTGTAGCGGCAATTACAAAAAATTTTAGAGAATTTTAACAAGTCAGACCACAGATCAGTTAGTAACGCTGGGAGCAATATTTGACAGTAGGTCAACCTTTTGTTCCCAAAAACTGTGTATTAGATCATAGGAAAACTTGGTAACAAGGTTTAATTCATTTCAACATGGTGCAGATGATAAGGGTATGAATGGTTAAACAGCTTCAATATCCAATTCAATTCAGTTTCTTTATATAGTGCCAATTAACGACACATGTCATCTCAGAACACTTTATACAAAGAGATTTCAAGCAGATCATCCTGCAGTTATCAGCAATTGTGATAAACGGTCTACCAAACAACAACACTTAGCTGGCGACAGAGTCAATGTAATTCAAAATTATTTTATTTTACCAAAAGGATAAAACAAGGTCCAAGCCCATATAACAGTTTTATTGATGCACATTTGATCAGTTGGTACGTAATTACATTGGCTAGTAAGATGATACGTTTAATGATGCTGCAGCTGAGTTGCTATTTCAGTTGCTTTTTGAGAAAAGAAACTTATAAGTAAACTTTTTAAAGCGGAGCTCACCAAGGATATGTTTCATGTGTCTAATGACACCTAGTAGATCCTAGTAGATCATTCACATTTCCTTCATTTCAACAGTTTAGACAGTTTGACAGGAAGAGTATTTCACTTCATATACTTTTGTTTGTCATGAGTACGCTTACGCCATCATAAAAATGTAACTTTCACACTGTAACGTCTGTTTTTAGTCCATCTCCAGTATATAGATAGTCGAGTACACCAGACTGTAGGAGCAGTTTGTTACGTGACTCATCTGCTCTTGGTTAATGCAGCTGATGTGACAAATGTTTACCAGACATAACCTCAGTTAAAGCAGTGATGACTGTGAACATAAACCCAACAAAACAATTCTTTGGTAGCCACACGACCTAGACTGGCATACTGAATGATAGTTGATGACTTTCCAATCGTTAAATCACTCTTTTTCTATGTTATTAGGGCAGTAGATGAAGTGGCAATGGGAGGCTTTTATTTTGAAATTTGCCATAGGGTGTGTTTTAAACAGTCTTCTAGAGTCTATTTTCTAAAATGGGGTTGAGTTTGGGTCATAATGTTGAGCCATATAGGGCAATAAATATATGTAAAAAATATAGAGGCTTTTATTTTGTATCATCTTTATCTAATGCACTTGGTTTGTATAGGGTTCATCTTTTCTTAGTGTCTTAGAACATCATCCACTGCGTTTGGAGCAGTACCTCTTTAAACACTGAATCTGCCTTTGTCTTTTTATAAAATTATTGCTTAAAAATTGGATTGTAAAATCTGTCTGCTGCTTGCTCAAATAGAGCAGTAGCTTTAAAAATAAGCTTTTGTTGATTAATCAGGTGACTACGGAGCCCCTCTGATGACATGGTCAAAAAAAAAGTTTAATTGTGGCCACGGAGTAGTATTTCGTGCGCACGAAATACTACTTCGTGGCCACGCAATAAGTATAACGTGCGCGCGAAATACTACTTCGTGGCCACGCAATAAGTATAACGTGCGCACGAAATACTACTTCGTGGCCACGCAATAAGTATAACGTGCGCACGAAATACTACTTCGTGGCCACACAATAAGTTTAACGTGCGCACGAAATACTTATTAATAATATCAATAAATCCGCCCCTGTTTTCAGGCTTATGTTAACTGTAATGACTTATCTTGGACAGGCTGTTATGTAAACGGGCCTTTAGTCCTTCGTTTAGCTATGCTGCGGTTGTTTACACTACGCCTTTTCCACCTAAAATGGCGTCTTAGCAACAAATGTCACGTGACTGGCGGAGACCGACTGGGTAAGCAAATCGAGCGCGCCTTAGACCTTAGAGAAGGTGCGCTCGATTTGCTTACCCAGTTGTCCAGGAATGATATTAATATTATTAATAAGTATTTCGTTCGCACGTTAAACTTATTGCGTGGACACGAAATACTACTTCGTGGCCACAATTAAAAAATCTTTTTGACCATGTCATCAGAGGGGCTCCGTAGGTGACAGCATCTAGTACAGATAATATTTACCATGTATTATAAAAAATGTTCATTGTACACCACCCACGCTAGCAACACCTTGATATGGTAGGTTATACATTTTTCTCAATCTAGATTCTACATATTTTCAGCTTCATATAGTGATAGATGCTGGAACCCTGGTATTTTTTATGTTTATTATTTGAAAACTATACAAAAAGGCAGAGTGTTCCTAAATATAAAACTGTCTGACACTTCTGAGGTCACAATTTAAACAATGACATCTGTTTAGTAAAAGCAGCTGTCACTCTTGAGAGACCACCTAAAGTACATTTCTCAGACCAATTTTTGACCAGTTGATGTTACTTTAAAGAACAGCTTGGAATGTTTTAGGTTTAGACAGCATTTTCTTCATAATGTTTCAATTTATAAGAACTATTTTACTATCTATCAGTATCATAGCAGAAACATATTAATTGAAGTGGTTAAATATTTTCGAAAGTGTTACATTCTGCTTTTTAATTCTCATTCTTTGCCACATATATTTGCAGAACATATCGTGTGTATATTTAGGTTTATTTGGTCACACAAAGTAAAACCGATCCGGGTTTTTCAAATGGTAATACGAGTAGTTTGCTGTAAAGGCAATTGTTAATAAGAGCATTCAGAATATTAGTTTTTAGAACCATCTTCAAATTCAGAAAATTTAATATGAATATATTAAATTCTTACCAGAATGTACACAGAAAATCCAGGCAACAGAAAGGAGGGCCTTAAGAAAGTACATTTCTATTTTGTAGAAATCCTTGATTCCTCATCAGCAGATGGAGCTTGCAAACCTTCTGTGAGGCAAATGCACGAGGTGTGAATAAAAACAGGTATGTTTTACCTAACAGTATAGTTTTAACTTTCAGCAGAGAACTAAGGGGGCATACGGTAATGTGGCTCAGTTCAGCATGTGAACTCTGAGCCCCTGTTTTTTATTGGAAAGCACATCCCCCACCCACCAACATCTCGGCCCACTTCCAACCATGAACACAGCTGTCTGTTTTTTTTTTTTTTTTTTTTTTTTTATGTATGTCATTAACGGTCAAATAGAATTTTAGAGTGGTGCCAGTTTTTTTTTCCACTTTGATTAATTCTACTTAGTATTAAACCACAAAGGTAAAGTGAATATTTGTTCACAAAAAAAGAAGTCATGTGCAAAATCACATCTATATGTGTAAGACTAGTATGTCAGTCTCTGATTGTATTGAGAAGGACTAACTAGCTTAAACTAACCAGTCTTAAAACATACTGAGCTTTTTTTAATTTAGCTTTCAAAACATATATTTCATATCAGGACTCCCTTAATATGCAATTTGAATAGATCCAAACTACAAAAAAAAATATATATATATTATTATTATTATTTTTAATAATGTATATTATATATATTAGAAATATAATTTAAATGTGTCATTGACAATTAGACATGGAGCTAAAAAAAGCTGATGTTTTTGATAAGGAAAGAAAATATTTCATTGTATCTGATTCTCCTCTAAAAGCAGCTTGTTCATCTGTGGCAGAGACATGTGTTGACTATTGCCTCACCATGTTAGGTGCCCTGCCCAAAAATTTGGCCACAAGTGAGAAAAATATTCCGAAGTTCTCATTGTTAAAGGTAAAGAGGATGAGACAAGCTCACCTTTCTCACCGCGGTTCTTTAAAAATGGCCAACAGCCGTAAGAGAAAAAGTGTCAATGAAGCGTATGAGAAGAAGAGAAAGGCCACAGAAGAGAGAATCAAGAGTGTTTTTGGCAGATTCCTTCACACCAAGGTGTACACTGAAAGTACAGGCCAGGCTCACCACCGATGCCTTGGTTGCAAAGTAAAGTTTGTTATGCTATTTGGAGAATCACATCACTGCTAGTAGAAGTTATCTACCTCTATAATGTAACTTTCCAGGGAAGATAAGTTTATTTATTTTGTAATTTGCGTCATTATTAGCTATAATGTGGCAACAAATTCTTATTGACCCTGCAAATATTTTCAAATTTTCACTGCCTCACACACACAGATACTAGCATGATTTATTTTATTGCACCAGTAGTCTTATTTGTGGGGATTGGTGATTAATCATAGTTATTAGCAGAGACATTAATCCTAGTGTAAGCTATAATTAGCAATGCTAGCCTTGCACAAGTCATGGACCACGTCAATGGCGTAAATATTGGTAAGTAGAGACAGCAGTTGCTTAAGGGCCCATCACCTCTTAGGGGTCCCATCACTGACACCTGGTAGGCCACCTAAGCAATTGTAGACTAGGACGTCCTTTTACAGATGTAATTGTGTGAAAAATTCCTCTTAAACCCACCTGATACTGAAGTGACTGACTGCAGCCGACCGTATTTATACCGCAACACATGCTAGATTTCACCATGATGGTGAGCCGTTTAATCCAGCATCAATAGCAAAGCAGACAGTACTACTTTTAATTATTATGTTAATAACTGTGTAAATATACTATAATGTGTTTCAAACCACAATAAAGATCTTAAAAGAACAATGTATTTGAGTATATAATTTTTTACACTACAACTTGGAATTATGGGTAATCCACAACATTCACGCCCGCGCGTGCGCACACACACACACATACACACACACACACACACACACACCCACGTACCTCCACATCTTAGTCTCGTTAACGAAAATCTTTTTTTAATTTTCGTCATATTTTTATTTTCTGGAAACAGTTTTTGTACGTCATCGTCTTGTCATTGTTACGGGAAAAAGGGGCGTTGCCGAAATATTTTGTCATCATCCCAGTTGACAAAATTAACACTGGTTGGAACAGAGATATTTGCAACCATTTTTGGTACAGCTGAATTTGATGCAGAAAAGCCTGAAGCTTTCAATATAAGTATTTATTTACTGTATATATTTCTGAGCAATTAGAGCATACTAATGGTCTTTATCAGATGTGTTTGGCAGTACACGAGATTTACTATGCATAACAATCTGATTACAGGATCTGTGGACCGGAGTTCTGCATCATGTGACTGGTGTACATGAGTGGTACTTTGGGGCCTGTCGACAGTGTTACCAGCTATAGTCAAGGTTTTCTAGCCCAAACGTCTTGTAAAAACCATCACATCACACAACAACCCGCCCCATTAATATATTGTTATAGTTACTGTGTCAATATGAACACACTTAAGTACAGCTTAATTCAACACTATATGTCAAAGCGATACAATCCAACAAAATCTGCCCAGAGTTGATCTCCATAAAAAAAAGAATCAGTAAGTCCGATGCCTTACCTGGGGCACAAGTCGGAAAAAAAATCTAGATTTGTCATGGTGAGGATACGGTGCAAGAAGGGTAGCCCCTAGCTCCATAAGAGTATTGTGGGATTTTGCTAGATTCTGGACATTTTATATTTCAGCAGGGTAGTAGGAGAGTGGCGATCGAAGGTGTGATCTGGGAAAATGACGAACTGCAGCAATAGAGCTTGTCCAGTGTAGGCTAACAAACTGACCTGCCCTAGCTGTCCTGTTTTTAACTCATGCCAAACTAAACTTCACTGGTGTGTTGTTAGACACTTTATATTAGAAACATTACTATTCCTTACACCAGCCTTGCTAAACAGAGAAAGTGGATGTTTTGTTTACAGAACTGGCTACTTACATTATAGATTTGATCTATTTACTTAATTTTGGACCCTGATAAAGACCAGATCATTTTCCTTTTTCTTTATCACCAATGTTAGGGTTCTGTTTGTGGGGAATGCTTTTGTGTTTCCTTTTTTAGTGTCTCCATCCATCACTAGATGGTGCCCTTTCCCTTGCTGGCCTGGAGGGCCTCTTCTGGTTTTCCACCTACAACTGCGGCTCGTTGGGTCATCACCAGAGGGGTATTTGAGCAGCGGACTGTCACCACCTCGACACCAGAGTGTTTGCCAGTATTGGGTACTCTAGCCTCTCAGAGCTTAGCTGTTACTAACTTTGGGTTTTCATCTCTCTAAGTCCTCTGATCTAACCCTTTGGGCCGGATTTATCAAGATCCAATTTTGCGTGCAGTAACTTGCGCTCGCAAACTGGAATTTTGCGCGAGGGGCTGAACCATGGTTTGCGGGTGATTTAACAAGAGCGATTGCGTAACTGGTGGCAGGTGCAAAACTGTTGGAGACGCCCTATTTAAATGATGGGTTTGCGCGTTTTGTGGTTTGCGGCAAAGTAGTTTGTACAAACAAGTGCATTAAGAAATTTAAATCTTACAGTGACACCCCCACCCCCTCCAAAAAAAAGAACATTTATTCCCTAAGGTGGTATGTGGCTGAATTTCTACTTCACTGCAGTACAAAAACAAAAAACTGGTGTTTTGTATTGGCCTGTAGAAAAATGCACATACCAAATGGCTCACAAGAAGTGACTGTGGATGAGATTACTGCGCGTACGTATCCCCACAGCATTGGCATGTTGCTCCACAGGCGCAGGGGGGAGGTCTGGGTTCTCCGGTAGGGCGTCAGGGCGACATGGCATTTAGAACGTCGGACAGCACTTCTGAAAAACGAGATTGGGAGATCCCAGCTCTCACTGCAACCGTATGCTGGAATGACCCAGATGCAAAAAAGTGCAACGTTGCAAGGAGTTTTGTGATATCTGGTATTGCGTGGGTCCTCCTTGTGGCTGGCTCCAAATCCATTCGGAGTTCCCCCAACAGCTCCAAAATGGCAATGCTGGATAAACGAAATGTTTTGATGATCTTTTCCTCGTTCATTCCAAAAATATTCACACAGAGTGAAAAAATGCGTTCTCTGCGTCTCCTTTCTTCATTTTGATGTCTCCTTCTTGCGACAATAAGCGCTGCCATGTGTGCGCAATTACGCATACAGACCATTTGCACCTTCTTTTGAAACGTGTTAAATATAGAGTCAGATACCGTTAGCAAAATTGCTTTCAGGTTTGATAAATCCCTTTGCGAGTGCTAAATTAATATATTTACATGTTCTCCTCCCACGAGACGCACTTTTACGTGTAAACGCCCCATATTGCATATTCATTGCAGAAAAAGTACTAAATGGATAAGAGGCGCTATTTAGCACGTTTTAAATACCAAATCCTTTTAGCACGCTGTTGATAGATCAGTTTGTACATTTTTTAGCGTGCGCAGTGAAATAGCTCACGTTTTTATACACGCAAACCTTTGATAGATCCGGCCCTTTGTCTCCTTTGTGGTTTTCGGCAGGATTACCTCCTGACCCATTGGATAAGCCTGGTCCTTCTAGCCGTGGAAGGAACCCATTCGTCCGTCTGAGATTCAGAAAATCCTTCACGCCTCTGTTTGCAGTCCCCTTCTTGAATGCTCGTTGACTGTCCGCTCCGCTGCTCCTCTGGACCCCAACAAGTCTGCCTGTCCATCCTCCAGCAAGTAACTGCCTTATCCAAATTACCCCCACAAACAGGAACCAAGGAGCAACCACCAGACAACAACTTCCTTAAGTTCCTTAACTGGCTATTTTCAGTTGTGGCCTGTAAATCCCATGGACCGTGAACTCACCACTCTGATCTCCCTCTAGAGCCGGGCTATTCAGTTGGCGGCCCCAGGGCCGGGTCCGGCCCCTTTGGGTTTTTGTACCGGCCCCTAGAGTGTACTGTGATTATTACATACTGATAGTCTTACATAGTGCATGAATATCACTAACTGCATGTTCTCTCGTCCAGTAGGGGGCGGGATGCGCACGTTTAAGTCATGGTGGAAAAACAGGAATACAAAAACAAATACCTGTTTTCGTCGGACATATATTTTGGGAGACCGCACATGACCAATCAAAAATCACCATTCACGGCGCGCTCTAATTCAATTCTCTGACTTTTATCTGTCAAGCGTGAAGGATTGGCTAACAAGACAAAATGTCTCTCTCTACCTTAAAAAAAAGAGAAAAGTTGACTCGGAGAACAGGCAGTTCAACAATGAATGGACAGAGAAATACGCGTTTATTGCAGTTGATGTGAATCCTGTGTGCTTAATCTGCAACGAGTGCCTCGCCGTGTGTAAAGAGTATAATTTAAGAAGGCATCACAACACAACGCATGCTAACTTCAACGCTACTTTCCCACATGGCTCAGCCGCTCGGAGGCGGCTCAGAAGATTTCAGGGCTCACATTTTGTTATGAGCAAAGACGTCGCATATTGTTTCGGGCCTGTACGGATCAAGAGAGAGCAACGGCGGCATCGTTACGAGTGGCATGGATATTGGGAAAAAAGAAAAAGCCGTTTACAGACTCGGAGATAGTCAAGGAATGTATGCTGGCACCCATTAATGAGGTGGTAACAGATGAAAAAACCCGAAAAAGCGTTATTGATTCGATCAAGCAAATTCCAATATCTGACACGTCAAATATGAGGAGAGTCGAGTCCCTTGCCTCGGATGTTTTCGAGACACTTTTGGACAAGCTGAGTAAGGCTGAGGTGATGTCTTTGGCCGTGGATGAGTCGACAGATAACGGTGATGTTGCGCAGCTGTGTCTCTATGTGCGATTTTTTGATGGAGAATGTTTTCGCGAGGATCTGCTTGGACTAGTTCCTCTGGAAGGGCACACCACTGGTGAGATTTTATTCACCAAAATTGCTTCATTCTTTGAGGAGAACAACTTGGATTTGGCGCGCATCAACATGCTGGTGACGGATGGCGCACCCTCGATGGTGGGCAGGGATCAGGGGCTTGCCGCGAGGATGGCAGCCGTGGCTCCACATATGAGATCGCTACATTGCCTCATCCACCAAAGCCTTCTGTGTGCCAAACTCAGTGCTAAGTTAAAAGAGACCATGGACTCTGTCATGGCAATTATAAACTTTATCCGTTGCACCTCCAGTTTACAGCACCACCTTTTCCGCCAGCTGTTAACTGACATGTCTGCTGAATACAAAGATTTGCTCATTCACAATGACATTAGATGGCTTAGCAAAGGAAATGCATTGAAACGTTTTTGTGAACTAAAAGAGGAGATTCTGGTGTTTCTCCAGTCTTCAAAAATGAAAAAAGCTGGCAAGTTTCTGTCTCTGATGGGAAATGATGATTTTAATGCCACTGTTTGCTTTTTGAGTGACGTTTTCCATCATTTGAATCAACTCAACATGGAGTTGCAGGGCAGGGATAAAACAGTCTCAGAACTTGTGGAGAAACTTCATGCTTTTCTAAGAAAGCTCTGACTCTTCTCTGCTGATCTTTGTCCTGGGAAAATGCTCCACTTCCCCACATTAAGGAAATCTGGTCTGCAAATTACTGAGGTGATGTCAGGCTTTATTGACTCACTGAAAAACAACTTTTCCACCAGGTTCGATGATTTCAGCATCTCCAGCGAAGTGGTGAGATATGTTAAGGACCCTTTCTGTGTGAATGTTGAGACAGACTTTGCATTGAAAGGAAAGGAGCTAGTACCATCATTGGATGAAGCTTTTTTACAACTGGAACTCATTGACATTCAGTCGTCAGATGACTTGCGACAGTCATTGCAGCAGGCAGGTTTTGAAAAATTCTGGACTCATGTAGTCAGCCAAGAAAAATTTCCACACTCAAGGGGTCTTGCACTTTTTCTTATGACAATGTTTGGCTCAACATACACTTGTGAGTCGTCATTCTCACACATGAATGCCATTAAAACTCACAATCGCATATCCCTCACTGACCAGCATCTGCAACACTGCTTACGCATTGCCCTGACAACATATACACCTGACTTCACTGCTCTTGCTAAGTCAAAAAAATGCCATTTCTCTCATTAGATGCAAATGTTGGCAAACTACATGCAAAGTGACAGTCATGTTAGTCAATCAAGTAATGAGGATTGATTTTTGAACAGTATGATGCAATTAACATGTTATTCACCTCATAATATGCACTTAATGTTTTTTTTTTATATGGTATGGCTCAGCTGAACTGAATATTGAAGTGTCTGATGCAATTTCAATATAGGCAGATAAAGGAAAAAAAATGTAAAGAGAGGTCAACTAAGGGACTGTTACAGTGATTTTTTTTTCTCATGTTAGCAGGGCTAAAATGGCTGAGGTGATTATTGTTGAAAGCAGTTTGAAATGTGCCTTGATAAAGTTCACTGTTATGTTGTTGTAATTAGAAGCATACTATGCAGTTTTGTTTTTTATATTTGTTGGTGCACTTGGAATTGAAGTTGTTTGTCAGTTAAATGAATGAAAATGTAAACAACTGACAGTAGTAGTCCATGTGTGGATTTATGTGTATATGTTGTTCTGCATTTACAAAACAGAATATATTGACTTCAGTATGTTGTAATTTATTTTTTGTTGCCGTGATTACTCATACTCTCTGGCCCCTTATTTTGCCTCAGATTCATGAACTGGCCCCAATTCCAAATTAATTGAATAGCCCTGCTCTAGAGTTTCCGGGTCCGGTTTACCAGACCACTGGATATTCCCCCCGCTGAGAATCCTGTGTTTTTGTCTCTCTGAGTGCCACTCTCCATCAATAAACTGTTAAACTTTTTCCCTGCCTCTGAGTTCGTTTCTGCATGTGGGCAAAACATTTAAAACCCACCATGACAGCCAATATAGCTCATACCATTCAAAACCAGCATTCGTAAAAAAACACACTCCATTAAAATTTTATAAAAGGAGCATTTATTTAAAATGTCTTTCTGCTTCTGAGATTGAAGCACATCGTAAAGCAACAATACAATGTTCTGAAAATATACGTGTGATGTAGTAACATTTTCAAAATCTTAACATGTTTTTGTTGTAATACTGGAACAGTTTGCATGTATACTAAAATAATAACTTTATAAATTGTACAAATATTTATCAATAAACTTGACACAAAATTAAAAACAAGGCTTTCTCTCAATGCAGCTAACACAGATTGCAGAATTTTCTTAAGAACAGGGAAAGGGAATGAGAGATTGATGAATAATGGAATGAAAACCAAAAGGCAGAAAATAAAAAAACTGATATTTAACTTTAGGCAGAGGGTCTCTTACTGCTTTCCAAAGAAAAGAAAAGACATTTTGAATTCCATGAGTGTTCATAAAACAGTAAGGACAGTCAATTGTCATCTGCATAGAGTTAAACATCAGTTTATTCCTTTGTATTTTCAACCAATCAAACAACATTTACTGCAATTATAATGATAACAATAATATTAATAGTAGACAAAAGTAATAATTATAACATAATATGAAAAAAATGAACAAAAATACAAGCTTAAAAAGGATGTGGTTTAAACTTTCCTGCTTCCCACTTATGCAATGAATGTTGGTGGTAATACTATTACCATGAAAAGTGTACCCACCCCTGCTATCATGCCAGCTTCCTGAGATGTATAAAATAACTATGACAAATGAATACATTTTTGTAACATTTGTAAACTAGCATCTGACTGCAGAGTATTAAAAAAATATGCATATGTGTTTCTTAACCTTGACAAGAATACAATGAATCGGACAGACTTGATAGATGTTAGTGGAATATTGAAATGTTGTGTTTTGTACACTTTTGACAACAATCCATGGCATTTGTAGGGGGAAGGTTACACAAGCCAGGTTTCACCAGTTTGCATTTAGATAGTTGGAAAAAAAATAAAATGTTATGAATTGAACAGCATATCCTTGTTTAAGAGTGAGCAAGGTTGTATCCTCATAGTGATACATCATATGCCAGCACTTTGCTCTGTACATGTTAAACTACAAGTTTGCTTTCTGAATATATGGGAAAAAGAGAACGCAGTGGGTTCCAAGAGTTTCTGTCTAAAGTTTAAGGCGTTTATTTAGAACTCAAAGATTTTTAACCGTAGTCATAAATGGTAGACCAGGAATATGGTGGTCATCATATGTGATAGATTCAGGTCAGTATGGAAATTGAATGCTGATGGCAAGAGATCAGACAGATCAAAGCTGCTGTTAAGACTTTCAACATAAAGTTACTTTTAAATATGACTCAGTTTGTAAGCAGAGAAAAAAAGTGTGTTGCAGGTCACACAACCTTCTACATTACATGTGTTCATGTTTATCTGTGTGTTGTTTCTATCTTCAGTCTTTGATTTATGTGTTAACCTCTTGAGTTGTTAAATTATTATAAGGCCACCATACTGTAAAGATGTTCTGCTCATCTTCAGAGTATCAACAACCCAGAGTCGGTCAACTTGTCTAATCTATGGTACCTTTTGCTCAGGTTCACTGAATCCTCCTCTCATTTGATTTCACTGCAGGCTGTTGCTAGATACCCAAACACACCTTTTTAACTTCCTCTGCCTCAGTTATTTCAAATGAAACACAATTAAATGTGCCCCACTGTTAAAAGACCTGACAAGGGAATCAAATATATCCCTGGGACCATTGAGGAAGTACAATAATCTAGTTGAAAGAAGTACTGTATATGCAAATGCAAGATACTATAGTAACACTGTTCCCATCACATTCTCTGTTAACACATCAAAAGACAATGCCCTGCAAAGCTCAAATTTAAAGAAACAATGGAGGAAAAAGAACCATAGAGGAGACATAGGAGATTTAAAAAAGAAAGGGAGTAGTTCAAGTTTGAGCATTCTTAAAGCGTCCATTTACAAACCATTCTACAACACCCAAGAAGGTGCCCCCACACAGAAGTAAGAAACTGTTAATGTTTATTGACAGAATGCCATGAACTAATTATAACTGGAAACTGGAGTGAACAATCCTTGGAGACAAATCCTCAGGGAATCAGTAAATCACAGGACAAGACCGCTGTTAAGAGTCCTCACTGTCATCCGCATCATGAATGGAGTGTTCTTTTGTCCCATATAAATCTGCCAGCTTTCTAAACCTTGGCCCCCAACTCTGCAGATAGTCATAATCCAAGTCGGACTCTGTTGTGACAGACTCAAGTGAGCTCAGTGAGCAAGCCAGCGATCCTCTCCCTTCGTAGCCATAGATCTGAATAGAGTCATATGGCGGTGCTGTGGGGTCGCTGTCGGCTTCGGTGATCCGTGTCTTAATGAAGTCATCAACATCAACGCTGTTGGGTGCAGGGCGACCAATACCAGGCCTAATTGGATATTGAAGTTCTGGTTTGATGTCTTTCCTTGGCAGGAAACCATTTGCACCGTCTGGGTTCTGGATGAAAAGAACAGTAAGATGAGGCTGCAGCACAAAGCTGAGATACTTTAAGTGTTAGGTTTTAATAACATAAATCGTATACCTTTGTTCGTTAAAAAATAATCTGTTCCTTACCTGCAGTGTAGCTATGTCAAAGGCCTCTGTGTCCTCCTCTCCGCCTCCCTCATCATCATATGTGATGATGTTTTCTCTGATGTCCTCCTCCTCAAACACTATCAGTGGATCCTTCTTTTGACGCCTTAGTGCAACAAACAACACAACGATTGCTGCCAAAAAACAAAGCACAAAAATGGCGTTTAACAGCGTGTATTGGTATTACAATATTACCCCCATCTTTAAAATCTGATTAGAAAAATGCTACCCTTAAATAAGCATAAACTTTGGCATTGCTTTTGGTATATTTGGTATTTTGGTTTATGACATTTAATCCCAGCTAAATATTTTTGGTTTGTGAATGCACTGTAACAAGACAAAGGTACTATTGTATGAATGCTTTAACAAGACAGTGTCTATTTTAACTGTTTAAATTGATTCTCTTATTGTCAATGTTTCCAACTTTCAATTATCTTATCTTACGCATATCTTCTGATCCCAAATCCAAAACATAAAAAAAACAACTTCAAAGTGTCTTTACAGTCCAATCAAATTATATGCCCATACTTTGTGCAGATTAAATTATTTACATTATATCATCTCATCAGAATATCTGATCAGAACTGCCAATAAATGCCAGAATGAACTTAAGCATAGAAAGATCTCCCCAAATCATGAAAAAAGTGTCTTGTAGGTATTAGAGACTGACATTTTTTCGGGAATCCCATGGATCACGGGATTCCCGTGGGATTCAGACTCAAGCGAGCTCCTGGAGGTTGCTTGTCGGGCCTTTTGACTCAAAGTTCGATCTTTGGGCATTTTTCATTCTCTCACATGTTGAACTTTAATAAACTCTAAGGGACTTTGAGCTATCAGTTTTAAACTTGGTCAGCATACAGTTAAGGCATCGGAGATAAAACTTACAAATTGTACGTTCATTTGTTACATTTTTTGTACTTTGTTTATTAAATAATGGTATTAAAACTTAATATACTCCTGAACTTTCTGTAAAATGAACCACATGACTAAGTTTCTTTTCCATGTTAAGAACCTTTTGCTTTTCTCACTCACAGACTTTAAAGTTTACTTTCAATATCTTGCCCCAGCCAATATATATATATATTTAGATAATTATTATCAAACCTATCAGCTCTGATATAATCTATTTAATTTTTCTTCTCAAATAGTTACAGTTCCACATGGAGCCTTAATATGTAAAACCTCATTAAAACACATTTACATGTACAGCTGATGCTGAAGGTGCTGATGTGATTCGATGCTAGGCTGGGTGTCCGAGCTTAAGAAACAAGCAGCGCAGCAGGAAATCGTAACATCTTATACCCTCAGCATCGTTTACACCATCACAGCTCCACTCAACTAGACAAGCACGGATATTTTACTTTTGTGTACAATCAGATTTCATACCCATCATCATGGATTTTATCATTTCAAACGCATCCCGAAAGAACGAAAATAATTATTTGTTGAGGTTACGCTTAAAATTATTCACCATGTTAGCCGATTCCAGCTTTTATTGTCATTACACTGTCACAAGTAAAGCGCCCAGGAAGCAATGTGGGGTTAAGGGTCTATGCTCAGGGATCCAGAGTGGCAGTGGGTTTCAAACTCACGATTCCAAGCTCTATGCCCTAAGAACTAGGCCACCACTCCCCCATTTTTTATTTTTTAGTTTGTTTTTAAGGCTAGGGGGCGCCAGATGGAGTTACCAGTCTGGCTCAGGTATCCTGAGTGGTACCCTGTGGGGCTCAAACCCAGAACCTTGGGATTAAAAGCTCTGTGCACTAACCATTAGGCCACCTCCTCCCCAATGCAGGTCTCTGTTCAGATGTAAAATAAAATAAAGAAAGTATCTAAAAGGCTTTGCTCTCCCCACAGAAGCTGTGCTTATTTAGAAGAGAAATAAATTCCATTGGGGGAGCTTACCTTACAACAGCAGTGCAGCAGGTCAAAGACAAGGCTTTTATTCTACAGTGACGTTTAATTGTGTCAGCTGTGCACATTGCTTTGCACTGAATAATCCTATTGCCAGGTACCCAACTGGTCATTTATTATTTAACTTATAGCCCCACTTTTAAATGCTGCAGAATGAACTGATAATAGCAAAATTTTATGCTATTTTATATTACACAACTACTAGCTGCTATTTCTAGTCAGCAAACTGGGCATCGGAAATATACATTGAGAATAAAAGAATATGAACAATTCGGGGAAGTTTTAGAGGTTAAAACCAGTTCTTATTGATTTTCTATGCCCATCCTTAGTGGTTTGCAACCCCCTGCAGCCCGCAGTGGCTGCTTAAGAGCGAGTTCATGATTTGATGTAGATGTGCTGGAGAAGAGAAATATCTAAAACATGAAGGACAGTGAGTCCCAAAGACGGACTTTGATAACCACTTGTTTAAGTTCTGTCTATAAAAATCTATTTTCCTGGTCTTGATGAGAAGCTTTTTGGATAAACTCTACTGGCATTTTTTGCAAAGAACAGTAAAGACACAGTTAAAACTCAAAATGAGAGCATGTACCAATAGCAAGTGTCCTGCTTTGTTTCAGATATCACATTTTACAATAACATTTCTTTAAAAAGTATGGGGTCCACTTGTATTTAACCCCTTAACTATAACTTATCCAAATTAAATCCAGTAGGCTAATTGGCTTTTGAGATAATCTTATTAAAAAGTTTTATTTCCACTGTCAAAACATGACCTTCCACTCATCAGACAATGTTAATTATTAATACAAGAATCAGATTTAGTTTTCTTACCAAGGAGAATGACAATGCAGGCCAGTATTGCAATCAGAGCACCGGTACTGAGGCCAGCAGGCAAGACGTAAGGCTCCACATTACAAGAAAGGATAGTGCCTTTGCTGTCACAGGAACAGACTCTAATGGTCAGGGTGTTGGTGCTGCTCATGGAGGGGGAGCCATTGTCATTTATTTCAATGGGAAGGTGGTAGACATCCTGAGTCAGACGGCTGAATCCTTTACGGAGCACATAGATGCTGGCTGTGCTGTCTGTGGAGAGATAAAGGAAGACATGCTGGGGACCTGACGAAGTAATCAGGAAATGAGACAAACATGTATTCTTAACAAATTTGTTTTATTTCGGTTAAATTTTATTTTCATACTGTCATTTTACATTTCAATGCGCTTTAGAGACAGTTCAATCAAATTATATAGATGATTGGTAGAAGCTTTTCATCTGAGCTGATTTTATTGCTGACAATTTTAAAATATTATCAGCCACTCCCTTGTTTTTTTATTCTAATTTTATTTATTTATCATATTAATTAAATATAATTTGTTTTAAAAAATAATGTTTTTTTTGTTTTTGTTTTTTTTTTGCTTCATAATGTAAGGCCCTTTAGTGCATCAGGTGTATGTTCAGATGTAAAGTAAAAGGAAGAAAATATCAAAAAGGCTCTTCTCTCCCTCCATTTCAATGGTTCATATCAAATACCCTCAAATCACTTGATATACTCTACCTTTTTGCTACAACGTAGCTTGCAAACAACCAAGAGGAGCAGCAGGAAGATTCAATGAGGAGGTCAGGAGAAGATTCAATAAAGAATGGACATGCAAATGTTATGATAAGAAAGTATCAATCTTCACTGTTGTTAAGAATAATTTGTTATTTCCAGCTAACATTGTGAAGTGCAATGTAATCAATAAAGAAAATACTCCTTCTTTGTCAAATAATTCTAGCTTACATTACAAATGAGTTATGTTGCAGCTCTAAAAGAACACCTCAGTTCCTCATTGCTGATTTCATCTTGTTTCAGTCACTCTGTGCTAGTTCCTCATCATGTCTTGGCTCCTTATTAGGGTGGCCATTTCTATAGCACCAAAAAGGAGGACATTGTGCGGCATATCAATAAATTACTAAGGTGTACATAAGAATCGGGTAAAGTCACATTTATAACACAATTCTTAGTAGTTTAAAGAGGATGCTTGTGTAGCTGAATAGAACAAAATATTAAAGAAATGTAAAAAAGAATTGGTTCCCAGCATTGTGGTGTTTAAAAAGTGACCATTTTTTAACACAATTAATTTGCGCAGAACTGCTGCAATTGATCATAAAGCAGTTGTTTGGAAAAGAAGCTCGAGAAAGAGCTAGAGAATAGGACAATGCAAACTGCAAAAAGTGGCTGGAAAAGAGGAATTCATGACATGGCTGCAGCCTGTCGAGAGTAAAGATCTATCTATCTATCCATATCTACCTATCTATCTATCTATCTATCTATCTATCTATCTATCTATCTATCTATCTATCTATCTATCTATCTATCTATCTATCTATCTATATATATATATATATATATATATATATATATATATATATATATATATATATATATATATATATAAACTTGAGTCATGGAACTGTGCTTACAGCTCCTTATTTCATGTAAACTAATAACTTGTGTACATGATACTTGTTGATGGCATTAAAATAATTTCTAATAGCATTTAAAGAGCATTAAATTAGAGCTCCTCATTCCTGTATAAAACCTGTGAACGCTTAATTTAATCTGACATATTAAAAAAATCCCCATCATCATCCAGCAGATGTTCAGTTCTGCCCAAATATTTTCTTTCTGTTGTGGATTTTTGTAACAGGGATAACTAGGATCATACATAGTTTGTATGAACTCTGTTTATTCTCTGCTTCCAAACTCATCATCTCTTCATCCATTCCTGCAATAAGAATTTTCTTTTAAAGTTGTGAGATTCACTCTAGATTCTCACAACTTCTTCCTGGTCTGTTGAAGCACCAATAGTCTGCATCCAATTATTTAATTAATTGCTCTTAGTTTTTGGGAATATATACAAACTATGCTCTAATTTCTAGATACCGATCTGTTTTTACTATAATTTAATTTGACAAACCGGGTCTTCTCTACATTCTTTTTTCTGTTTGTTGCGATTGCAATAGCGGGTCTTGATCTGGACGGACCGGAGGGGAGCAAAAAATAGCTCAGCTCCGTATTTTGACGGTGAAGGACGGAGAAGACGTACGTGGGCGGTGACGAGCGGAGGATGTGGAACAGCTCTCATTGATTTACATGACAGACAAGTACTACGTACGTGAGCGGGGCAGAGCGCTGACGGAGTATGTGGAATCTGGGGGTAAAGGAGGACAAATACACGTCCGGCTGGGTGCAGCGCCGGACGCCGGACAGTGCAATGAAAATCCGGACTGTCCGCCCTAAAGCCGGACATCTGGCCACCCTACTCCTTATGTGAGTTTTCCCTAATATCTCAAGGATTTAGTTTTTTTTCTGTATTTTGGATTTTTGCTTCGGTTGCCATTTTTTTAATATTAAAGCTGAAAGAAACCACGTCAGCTTCCATCTCTGTATTTGGGTCCATCAAACCTCCACTCGACTTGAGACAACCTAGCCAGTATTAGCCATTTTGCTTTAGAAGTCCTCCACCTCTAACCTGACTCCGCCAGATGGATTTGCTCCGCATATCCATCTGGAAACCTTCCGTTGAAGTAATTTTGGGAATGGGCGAAAATACTGGTTAGCTGATTGGCCTATGTGGGTGATAGACGGGCCAAATAAACCAATCAGATCAACGAAGCATATGACGTACTAACAGAGCGACGACGAAAACACAACCACAAGCCAGGCTACTCTTGCCGAAACCAGTCGGGAGAAGAGCAAAAACATCTTTTCCTCTGAGAAAAGCCTCCAGAGCAGTGTTTTGCTGTTCTTTCAGTGAAGAAATACTCTGTAATTCCGATAAAACTTGCTCTATAGCCACGCTAACGCTAGTTTCATCGGCTGAAGCCGCCATGTTCTTTAGACTGAACTGTCGCGCTTCTCGTTGCGTCACACCTCAACCAGCCTCAAAGCCAACGCTGATTGGACATTCGTTTGGTGAACGGCTCCAAATTTTCTTTAATGGAAAGTAGCCAGACTGATCTGCGAGTGAAACCTTGAAAGCTCGCAAGATCAGGATGGTCTCACTCCACCTCTATGTAACATAGAGTTAACTGGCAAGTTGGTTTTCTGCTGCTGCTTCAAGGTTTGATATGCTGCTTTTTTTTAGCATATGGTTCATGATGCTAATAGGGCTTGACTTATTCCTGTTTCTTTTGAAATATATAATTACATGCCTTGTGTCATTAATGTTGTTTTATTCACATAGTCATGAAAATAAAGAAAACTCTTTGAATGAGAAGGTGTGTCCACACTTTTGGTCTGTACTGTATATATATATATATATATATATATATATATATATATATATATATATATATATATATATATATATATATATATATATATATATATATATATATATATATATATATATATATATATATATATATATATGTATATATACATAGACAGTCACAACAACATAATTAATACAGTGCACCCCATAAGACGTTTCTGCATTCAAGAGCTTGCGAGCGAAAATTCTGAGCATCTGCTATGAGCCACCATAAACTTCCGTCTGGAGTCGTTTAATTCAATTTCAAATAAGGGAAGCAGGATGTTTAAATGATTATTACAGAGAAATAAACAAAAAGGATGGCTGCAAAAATAAAGCATTGAAGGAAAAAAAAATATGATTTTGAAGTTGACTTACCTCTATTATCTTTGAGTGAGAAATTTTGGTTGTTGGCAACTTCGGGAGCAAGGCTGAAAGTGAAATGTTGTCTGTGGACCATCTCGTCTTTGTCCACTGCGCTGACTGTTTCTATAACCTAGATTATACACACAGGACGCATTAAAATGAGACAGTTACGCTTAGACATTAGCATCAAACCCAAACACATTTGCCTTTTGGAATGTTAGCATTGTCTAGCGTAGACAACCGTACCTTCCCTGGTTCCGCAGTTTCACACATAAGGACTTCGTTGTTGGTGGCAAACTCTGGAGGGTTGTCATTTACGTCTTTCACTATGATGTTAACTCGCACTTTGGTGTCTTGGTGGTGACCTCCTGTGTTACATCAAAAGCACAGGGCATATTAATTAGTACACTGTTACTAACAGACTAAGCAGTGACATAAACATTAAAGTGAGAAAATCTTTTGTTATTGGATCTCTGATTGATTGTGACTGTTCATAAAGCTATTGTTGGCGTATTATTATTATTTGGGGATAACATTTTTTTCACTAGCCTGCTATTTGTTATTCTGATTTGTTATTTTTAAGGAACAACATTTTAGTATATCTGTCTGCAGCTCATTGAGTCTTGGCTATTACATTGATGTATTAAAGAGCAGACAGGTCAGGCTTAAAGTTGTGGACTTTAATACAGGCTTAGCTGATAAAAACAAAAAATAAATCACAAGTTTTGAAGATGTTATATATTCCATCTTATTGATAAGGTGTGTCTCGGAACCAAGAAATAAGCAACTAAACGCCAAAATCTCATAATTCAAAGATGCAGCCTTTGGCTTCATACAGATTCTATGAATCTAGCTTCTAGAACAGGGTTCTTCAACTCTATGCCTGGAGGTCTGGCACCCTGCATCTTTTAGATGTGTCTTTGCTTGAGATAACCAGGTCATTTAAAGAACTCTGATGAACTTTACTGCATACAAAAAGAGGTATTCAATCAATTTTATTCAGGTCAGGAAGCAGAAGCACATCTAAAAGATGCAAAACACAGAAACACATGGACTGGAACTGAAAACCTATGATCTAGAGTGGCACGTAAGAACTTGATGTTAAAAGAAAGTCACAATACATCAGAACTTACATCAAAGACACCAGAAACATGTGGGGGAGGGTGCTCTGATTATATTAAATCGAAATGGAACTTTCTTTTGTAAAAATGCTAAGCGGTAACTGGGAAATAACACTCCATGAATGTCCCAATGTGGAGAGAATTTGCCTCTTAACACCTCATGGCAAAGTTAAGCAAACTTGGTGGTCGGTTTGCCCTCTTTTTAAAACAAAAGGGTTATGTTTTAATAAGGTTAATCAATCAATCAATCAATCAATCAATCAATCAATCAATCAATCAATCAATCAATCAATCAATCAATCAATCAATCAATCAGTTAATCAATCAATTAATCACTTTTAATCAACTGAGGTGGTACATTTTATGGTGGTACATTTTTTAGCCTTTTTGCAGAGTAAAAGTACAAGATGGTGAAACAATCAGGCAGTGGGATGATTTCCTGAATCAAAACAGAAGATAGAGAGAGATAATGAGGAGAATGTTTTAAAACAAAGCATATCCACATGTTTAGGGTGACCAAACGTCCGTATTTCCCGGGACATATCCGTATTTCACGTCCTGTCCCGGGCGTCCCGGGTTTTTTTTAGAAAATGAGGAAATGTCCTAATTTTTTAAATTACCTTAATTGGACCATTAAATTTACAGGCACTAGGGCACTGCGCACGGCGCTGTATGTGACGTAATCCCTGAGCCGCGTCAGTGCGGGCAGCCCTGTTCTTAATCAGAATATAGATAGCGTGGCTGTCAGTACGCCAACAACATGCAAAAGCGGAAATGTATGTTTACCGACGATTTACAAAAGAGTTTCCCCGCTTTCAGACCGGGTTGAGACAAATGGGAGGCCTTGTGCACAGTGTGCAAAGCAGGCACATATGTCTCGGTGTCCAATTGAGGTGCAAGGGATCTGAAAAGCCACCTGGACACCGAAAGTAAAGATAGTCTATTGATATGTTTGTTCGTTTTGGGTACATTTTGAGTTATTTTTGCTACAAGGTGTCCTGGTTTTCCCAAATGAAAATATGGTCACCCTACACATGTTAGTATGGTCTGTCAAAGTCTAGGCCTTCACTGAGCCAGAGGTACAACTGTCATGATCTTGGTGCTGATGGTTCGCCAGGTTTTTCAAGCTTTTTAGTTAGACTAAATCTAGCTTTCTGGAGTCTGTTCTGTTTTCCTGATTGCGACCTGTTTCTGCCCTGTGGATCCTAAGTTTTGCCTTGCCCGTGTCTGCTCTGTTTGTCTGATCTGTTTTGGATTGATTCTTGGATTCAACCGGTTTCTGAACCTGGACCTGTCTTCTGACTCCGGCTTTGGATTTCCCCTTTGGACACTGTTGCTGCTGAAACTGAAAGAGCTTAACCAAAATCTTGATGAAAAGTAAATGTGAAAACCAGGTTGTTTTAGTTTTACAAACCAACTCTTTTTAAACTAGTTCTATAACATAAAATGTAGATTTAACATATTTTTGTGTGTAATGGGACACATTTTGTAAGAGTTAAAGATTAATTTTTTTTGCAGGTATACTTTTTATATTCAATACAAGGCTGAGATGATCAAAATACAGATTTGAAAGACGAAAAAAAAGGATGTGAAGCATTTCCATGTTGCAGAGTTAGAAATATTTGTTGAACTTTTCAGTTTAGGTTTTATACTACCCTGTCATTACTGAGCATTTATTTAGGCTTCCTGGGGTCTAAATGTGGTTAGCATAGCCTACAGTACTTCTATCATTGTGGGCTGCTGGTCCATTTCCATGTGTCCTTCTGGCGTCATGCACGCCACAAGGAAACTAAATGGCGCTCTGCTAGGCTGAGCCCTGACCACCAAATACCAGGGTGAGGCCACAGCGGCCTGTGAAGTTTTCTGCCAGTACAGTTTAGAAGAATCTTCACACTGCTTGTGGCTTGACAAATCTCACTGATTCTCCTTTCTCTGTAATTTTATTTTTCCCCTTTCATTCTTCTGCTATTCAAGATAAATTTGCTGAGTGTAAAAAATATACTTCTTCTGAAAAGAGGGGAAACATTGGGGCCTTCTACACCTTCAGAGAATTCCTAAGAAATTCAAAAGAGCCACTTTAAGAATGTTATCAGCACAAATGATTCTATCTCTGATCATTATGACCCTTCGGATTGGTTTGGGGAGTGATAGGCAAACTGGACAATCACTGTTTCATTCTGTGCTGGCAAAAAAATATACATATACATCGAGCTTTTCTGAAGTCTGATCATATCATTGTCATTCTTGAGTAGAGCGGTGAGAGCAAAATTGAGAGTACGAGAGTTCAGTGGCGGTAATGAGTGGCTAGCTTGCTAAAAACACCTTTTGTCAAGGCGGCCTTTTCGTGAAAAAACAACAAATCATAAATATCGGAAGACCAACTCCAGAATTAGATTTGGAGAAAAATAAAAGTGGAAAGGCATTTTAAGGCTTAAAAATTCCAGCGCTACCCATGGATGACTGGCTGTAGAGAAACAAAGTTTCCTTTTATTTTTTAGCTGGACCTGCTGAACCGGACCAACTGCAACCAGGGAAGCTAACCAAATTTTTTCAGCTTCTTTACGGTTTAATGGTTTTAGCTGCATTTAACATCTCTGTATAAGGGTTTATTCAAAAATGTCTGCTGTTATTTTTAAAGGGCACTTTTAATATATTAAGCCTTAAAAGTTGAACTCAGACACTCTTGAACTGACCTTTAAACCCCTTTTTGTATGGTAACACATGACGTTCTGTATATGAGCAGCAAGAAAAAGGAAAAAAAACTAAAAGAGCCCCCTTTATATATTCACTGAGGCCCAAAATAATAAAAGAGTAACGGTGCACTTGGTTGTTCACACATTGCTTTTTTTTCCTATGAGCAGCTTTACTATAACATCCTAGTGTTAAAACTTTTAAATACACCAAATACACAACTATTGTACATGTACAACACATCAACAGCATAAATTAAGTATTACTTTCAAAGATTGGTGAAGGTTTTAATAGCAGTGTTTACCGCTGTTGTTTTTACAGCCATCTTAGATTTAGTCTTAGTCTTCAGGACGAAAATTATAATTAGTTTTAGTCGTAATTTAGTCAACTAAAGCTTAAAAAGTTGAGTGAGTTAACCTTTACAGTTTTGAATAACAACCAGATTCTTTACCAGACTAAAAGCTCTTGCCTAGATACTACAATTGCTGTACATAGATTGCTGCTGTGCAGTTCATCATTGCTGTTGGGCAGAAGACTTTGATTTATAGAATTCAAATAAACTTTTATATTAATCAATGCCCTACTTTATACAAAAGTGTCTCACAAAACCTGTGAAAATAGCAGATCTAGTTCAACACATCATATTGGTTAATATAGCAGACAGAGAAGCTAACAAAACATACAATAAAGAATGGTTTTAGACATATGAGGTTTCCATTCAAAAGCAAATACTTCCTGATCTACTATGAATTACGCATTACACACAGATCAATGAAATCTTCGTTGTTCCAAAAAAGCAAAGAATGAAAAAATTTGTCTTTCTACTTTGATAATTTTGGTTTTATTTCATGAATTTGCCCCTTGGTTACTGCTGCTCGGGGGACAAAGTAGATTTAAATTCACAGGGTTTTGATATAACCAGAGGTAACCTACAAAGATTGCGTCGTAATGCCATGGCAATCCGGAACTAAACTGAATGAATATGCTAACTAAAATCTTGACATATTCAAAGGAAACATAGAAAATGTTTTAATGAAAATACAAGTAAACATTTACATAATAAGAAAGAAATATTCAAAGATCTATTTGTCTTTTTACCTGGCTCTTTACCCAAAAATAAACAGTTTGCAATGACATATTTTCTTTGGATATAATAAAGGGATACCTTTAGGTAGAAATTAAAGAATGTTTAGTATCACCTCTTGTGAGCTGGAAGAAATAAAATCTTGATAGTTAGACAAAGCGATTTTTTACGCTTGGCAACGGATGATCAGCCACATAGTTTATTAAGTAGCGAGGGCAGGAAGGGTCATAATGCTGAGAGCGAACAATCAGTGTGGAGCATAAAATGCAGACTCTGAGCTACATGTGTGCAAAAAATCATTTCTGCACAGGCACAGCTATGCAGAAATGCGTGGCTATGTAGAATCTACACCACTGCACAGCAGGTGGGCACAGCTGATACTGTTTAACTTGTCTAAAAGATTACAGCACAATGATGCATTGTAAACATCTGACCGACCACCCGCTAATATTTATTTAGTCTCGTTTTGTTGATGAAAACTCAAACCCCTGACTCGTCATTTTTTTTGTCATCAAATATCCATGTTTAGCTCGACAGTTTTCGTTATCGTCATGAAAAAAAGGAGTCAACGAAATAATTTCTTCATTGTCATTATTGATGAATACAACACTGGTGTTTACCTACCTATTATCTAGGGGTTATAAAACTACAATGACCACGGTAAATATACATAAAGACTTGCACTGTTTAAACAATGAGTATATTTAACTTAAACCACTGTTTATTGTCCAAATGTAAGCTATTCAGGTTGGTACTACACTTTCCCACTAGAACACTGGTGTTCGGCACCTTTTTTTTTGCCGGACTTGACTTCAACTAAGGAGGAAATTAAACCTTTTGATTCATCTTTGTTGGATTGGGGAGTTCATAAAATGATTAAAAGTTTAAGGGGTATAAATCTTTTTGCAGGGTAAGCTGTAGTGATAGTGTATGCCTGTGAGTGCTAGGGTATGTACCAATCTCTGTAGCCGAAACAGAAATATTGTGCCACGGCTGCGTCTCTCTGTCCAGTGGTCTGGTGGTGGTGATCATTCCATCTTCTGAAATGCTGAAAAACTGCTCAACGTCCGTGTACCGAGGAATCATGTATCTGTTTATGAAAATAATTGCAATTACATTTTAGATATTCATGCACTTTGACACTTGGCAGTTTGGCCATAATGAGGTTAAGCTGCTCATTGAAAAGAAAAAGTGTCAAACCATTATACAGTATGTGGGAACCCTGCTTATTCTGGTATTTTAAGGTTGTACTCTCTCAGAACTAACAGTGAAATTGTATTTATGAGTTAGGCTTGTATACTTCTTGTTACCTGACAGGGTTGTTGGCAACATCAGTGTCCTTGGCATGAACTTGTCCCACCCGGGTGCCCTGAGGGGCATTCTCCTCCACCACAAAAGTGTAACTGGGAGCTGTGAAAACAGGAGGCTCATCTGCATCCTCCACAGATATCTGCACACATGAAAACATGAAAACACCAACAAGAAACAAATGCTTCTGTAATGTTTGCCATTTTAAAAACAATGAAATGCATATGATTGACTATTCTGCCCCTGTTTACAGAAACACTTTACACATACCTTAATTGTGGCCTCATCCTTGTAAGGTCCCCAAGCAAGAAATCGAGAATCTATGTATGGGTTGGACCCCTCCACCTTTAAAGAGTATGACCTCTTTGTCTCAAAGTCCACTTGCTGAAAAAAATTGAGAAAATGAATTGTCATTACTTCACTTTGAAACGTAATAGCAGCTGTAAATGGACATAAGCCCGCCCCATTCTTGCTTATACTAAAGAACAGAAATAATATCCATCCCCTGCAGAAGCTGTATTGGTTTTGCAAACTGCATGGCTGTTAAACGCTATGCTTCCATGTTATGGTAGGTGGAGCTGTTGCCACATGAATTAATCATAGGTGCCTCTGATGTCCAGCCATAAAAATTAAATAAAAAGACTTTGAAATTAAGGTATTCCTGGTGTGTGATAATGGCATGATATAAGTGGATTATTTTTGGAATTAAATTAATCATCTGATTACTTTGGTCCTAGCTGCTTTCATCATCAGACAAAAACAACAGTGATCTATATTTCTCAGGGTAGACTTAGGCAGAACTGTAATTGTTAAACCTTGATATAGCCGAGGGTGGCTGTCACGTATGCAGCTCAACTGAGTCGCCCCACAAAGTAAGCAGTGCTTTTCTCATTAATCTACGTCTGTCCTGTAGGTGGCAGCAATGCGCTTTATAGTTATGACATCTGCCAGTGGGGCCCATTTGTGGAGTACAGGAAGAAGTTTTTCCTAAAGTATTTGAAAATGGATGGTGTTACAAAAAAAAAGGAAAAGCTGAAGAGACAAGGGAAGAAAGAAGTGACATTTAAAAGTTGAAGCTGCTAAATGCTGCAAACATAGTGAATTGCTCTGGAGAGGCACAGCCAGCAGCAGCTGTGCCACAGTGACAGTTCAGGAAGCGAGGTGATGATGATGATGAGGGACAGTAAAAAGGGGCCGGTGGACGTTGAGGTCTGCCGCTCCAAACAAGAACAGAATATTTATGATTAACTGACTGCACAGATGATGTTTTGAGTTGGACTTTCTCTCTAAAAAATGTGTTAAACACTTTTTTTTTTTCTCCATTTCAAATAAAATAAAGACAAGCTGCTTTCGAGACTGCAATGAAAGAATGGTGGAGCTTCAAGTCTACAACAAGTCTAGCATCCAGATTGTCAAGGCATCTTGACCGGCATTTGACCCAGTGTCCCAGTTTTAAAATGTAAGAGTTATTGACACCCAGAATTTTATTTTTTGTAGAACTTTTTTTTTTTCCTGCTTTCATGTCATTACTACGGTGGCCCTGAAGTGCAAACTGCAACTACAAATCTAAAAGCACAACTACATTAAGAAAAACAAAACTACATAAAGCAAAGCACAACTACATTAAGGAAAACACAATTACATTAACCTACCGGAAAAGGTAGGCAGCAGTGGGAAACATGAGACTTCGCTGATTGGAAGACGGGGCCGTTTGACCCTTGAACCGGAAGTTGCGTCGTCTGAACAGTCCAGCTTCTTTTAAGTGTGTCTTCAGTGTACGCAAACTAACTGAAATTTCGTGATTAGTCTTGAGCATATCCAGTATCACCTCGTACGTATGTCCTGATTCAAAATATTCCTGGATAACGGCAGCTATGTTTGGGGCGCCGACAATATCCATGTTTTCAGCGGGCAGAATGACTTCCGGTTCAAGGGCTCCGTCGTCCAATCAGCGATGTCTCATGTTTCCCACTGGTACCTACCTTTTCCGGTAGGTTCATGTAATTGTGTTTTCCTTAATGTAGTTGCGCTTTGCTTTATGTACTTTTGTTTTTCTTAATGTAGTTGCGCTTTGCTTTATGTAGTTTTGTTTTTCTTAATGTAGTTGCGATTTCCTTAATGTACAGAAACAATTAGCCTTAATTAATAGGATATTGACATGCATGCTGACACAATAGACCTCCTTTGAGAATCAAATCTATACCATTAATAAAAAAGGGCTCACACTTACATTTAGAGATGTTGATTTCTTTCACCTATATTTCTAAGAATCCCACATGTCAAGGTATGTAATTCTGTGTATACTGCATAAATTCTCCTGTATTCAATTAAGATGACCATTTTTTATCTGGCAAGGGAAGAGACCGAGGGTTAGATTGAAATGCCTTCAATTACCTAGGGAAAGGGGAAGACTGAGCTTTACCGGGCTGCCCAAATAAATGCAATTGTGGCATGGCTTGAAAATGACCGGGAAACAATATGGACTCAAATAGAGCAAGATTCAGTTAAAGCTGTTCCTCTACCTACACTGCCATTTATTGATACAAAGTCAATTCAAAAAATTAGAATAAAGAACGAATGGATAAAACACACGTTAAAAGTATGGACAACAGTTAAAAAATTGCTCGAGGACCGGAGTCCATCTCAAGGGCCATGTTAATAGTAGGGAACATAGAATTTCCTCCTTCGGTGTGGGATACGGGGTTAAAAAGATGGGCTGATAAAGGTCTCTGTACAATCAATCAACTCTTTACAGAAAAATAATTCAAATCATTCTCTCAAGTTCAAGAACAATTTGACCTCCCATCAAATGATTTTTTTAGATACCTTCAGATAAGACATTATATCACAAGTAATAAAGAAAGGCATTGGGTCAGAAAAAAACCAAATAAAATAAAAGAGTACTTTATCAGTGTTATAGAGAAGCATTTCCCAACAAAACACATATCTAATATATACAAAAGGTTAGTAACTGACACATCACAAAACACAAACAATATCAAGGAAAAATTGGAATTAGAATTAAATGTTATAATTGAAGACTCTACATGGGTGGAAATATGTACCGCCTGTCATAGGGGAATTAACAGCCAACTATGGAAAGAATTTGACTGGAAAGTGAAGATCAGATACTTTAATACTCCCTTTATCATCTCCTCATTTGTGAAAAAACCTAGTGTAGCACTATGTTGGCGAAATTGTGGAAAAATTGGAGATACCACACACATTTTTTGGGATTGTCCTGTAATACAGGGATTTTGGGACAATATTAGAAAGGAAATAGAGGGAATATTGAAAGTAAAGGTGATGCCTGAACCTGTGATGTTTTTGTTGGGAGCCGTACCTAAAAGTAAATATAACACAGATCAGAGATATATACTGAGGGTTCTTTTATTGATAGCAAAGAAAATGATTACTGTGCACTGGAGAGATGTAAAACCACCAACTATAGGTCAATGGGCCCAGAGATTGAAACACGTTTACATAATGGAGCAAATGACTGCAAGCCTGCAGGTAACTATGGACACTCTTATACGAAGGTGGACTTGTATTTCAGAATATCTGGGGGTCTGATGGAGAGGATGAGATATTACTAAAAGGAGGGATCTGATGGAATTCCTCATTGGGAAAGGGTACTGCTTGGCCACAGATTATAGATTGTGGATGTTTTCTGCTCTGCCTGCTGTCCTAATTGTAAAGACTTTTGGTATTTTGTGATGTGTACTATTTGAGTTTCTGTCAGGAAATGTTATGTTATGTAAGATTTATAAAATGGTTAAATAAAAAGTTCTAAAAAAAAAAAAAAAAAAAAAAAAAAAGATTACCATTTTGACAAATAAAGTCCACAGGGTTTTATGGGATCTAACTCAGTATCAGAGAGTAACCTCTTTTTTAATGGACACACACATTATATTCCTGATAAATATGATTAGTATAATAACGGGTATAAAAAAAACAAGCAAAGATGTGACCAACTTTTTTTATTTTCTCTTTTCTGTCCCTGCCTCCCTCTCATCCTGTCACCACCCTCTTATTCTCTCCCTCTTTTGATAATCAGTCTGATATGATGATATTCATAATAATCCCCCTCTTTCTCCCTGAAGTTAACGCACACACTTGCACACAAGGCTCCTTCATATTCTGTAGACTGCTTTCGTCAGGACACAGTTAAAAGAGAATAGTTGATTAAAGCTCATCCCTGTGTGTCTGTCTATGAGAAGGAGAGAATAGAGATGAGTAACGGCTACTCATAGTGCGGATTTAAAAGTGTGTATGCATGCATGAGGGTGTGTGCATGCATGTGAGCGTGCAAAGGTACGAGCTTGCTTTCAATTTCTTTTGATGATCTCTTCAGGACACAAAAGGTTTTGATTTCCCTTGGGACGAATCTAAACCTCATGATCTCACATGCATGCACACGCACATACTGCTTAGCATACATAGATAACACTTTCAAGTTAAAATGGCATCATCAGATCAAGCATGAAAACAGATGTGAGTGTGAGCATCTACTTGCAAAGACACTTTTATTTACAGTGAGAGTTATTATTCCAATAGACATGAGGAACTGCAGCAGCTAAGCATAACTGTTTTCATATTGGTGTCCTTCAACGCCTTCACAGCTGAGCTAAAATCTATCAGAAACACTGACCTACATTCATAACCTAAACTTTAATTTGGTATCATGTATTTATTTATTCAAAACAATCAATTTTCTTAATTTTGTACCATTTCGGAGGGATGCGGCACTTCCATTATATTTATTTAGTTGCTATATTTTTTATCCAATCAGATTTCAGCCTCTGTTAGCAAGGACTATTTTCTTCAACCAATCAGATTTCAGATATGCCCCCACTGGGCCATCTAGAGGGCCCACCCTTATGTAAGCATTTTCTGTCCTCTGATTGGTCATTTAAAGAAAAATGTTTACCGAAAAAGTTAAGTTAAGCAAGCAACAATCAGAATTTTTAATTATTAAATTATTAATTTAAAGATTTATTATATATATATATATATATATATATATATATATATATATATATATATATATATATATATATATATATATATATATATATATATATATATATATATATATATATATCAGGGGTGGATCGGTTCACGGTTTCGTGGTCATGGTTTTCGGTTCGGTCCGGAATATGTTTATTGTTACACCGAAAAATACAAAAATTTATAAAAATCTAAAAATTAATGAAATTTTTTTTGTGAAATTAATGAAAAAAAAATAAAAATAATGAATTGTAATTATTTTTAATGATTCACGGAAACCCTGGATTATTTCCGCATGTTTTGCTGCTTTCATTTTAATCATCTTCCGCATGCTACCTACCTGTGGCTTGTTTGCAAGAATCTGTTTATGCATC